ATTCGAGCCTGTCACTTACCTGGAGGGTCTCACGCAGAGCTTGCTCAAACTGGATGTGCCCCATCTTCGTGAATCCGAAACGGACAAAGTCAATGCCCGAGGAGATGGCAACGCGCTTCTCCGCCTTGTCCACAATCCAATCCCCGGCCCATACAGGTGGGTCCGAAAGGCTTTTAAACGCCGTCTCTAGCGCGGACGGGGAGAGCAGTCTGACGACTATCTTTGGCGTGCCTGAACCCGTAAGACCGCTAGAAGTCTGCAGTTGAGTGTTGGCCACGGCTGCTAGAGGCAAGTGGATCTTGGAGCCGCCGGCGTGATCAGACCAGATAAGACGATGTGTTGTGAGTTTGAGGGTGCCATTATCGAAGGATGTCCGTCCGGGACCGTTGTAGACGCGTACGCCAGACTGTTGTAACACCAGGCTCTCGGCAGCACCGCGTGAGGAACTGGAATTCAGGGAGTGGATATCGTCGGTGCACCAGCGGAAGCGGTCCATGCACTCCGCCTGAAAGGATCTTCCACGACGGAAAGGGCAGAGATGTAGTTAAAAGGCGGGAAGCGAATGTGCAGAGACACATGGGCAGACGTTTAAATGACCAGAGACAGTGCGTAGCGATGAGAACCACAAAACCTTCCGCTGCAAGCATACTTTCATGAAGGGACAATACATACAGTGAGTGACCTATCTCATGAAATGTTGGCTGAAATTCTGAAATGCGTTTTTGATTAGGAAGGATTACTTGGTCGCGGTTGTAATACTGCTTATCTTGTGGCATACTCTTATGACATTTTGGACTCGGCAGGATGTCGGCTTTTAAATGCACTTTTAAATCTCCAGTAGAAGGCGTGCCTGGTAAAAAATGACTACTTAAGTAGCATGCATTTTCCCATTGATTTTCGATGGTCTTGGATATTCAAACATATTTTATAGAAATCACAAACAAAAATACGCTTTCTTTTAGTCAATCAATAGAAAATCACGTCTTCTTTATATTTTATACTAAAGAAAGGAGTATAATTAGGTTTTAAAAAAACTTTTCTAATTGCCGAATAATTTGGAGCCTGATCATTAGTTGCATTAGCGCTTAGTGATTACACTCTACAAGGTGCATGCGCTCCGCGTACAGAATATCACATATTTTTCTATGCCATTAAAGAGATATCATACAGAGTCCATAAAAGTTTGCAGTGGATGCGGACCATGTTGTACATTTTATGAGGAGCAATGGTAAACGGCCAGGTACGATGCTATGTGAATGGACATTTCGCGATCTTAAAAAGTCTCATAATTAGAAACTTTTAAAAAACCTTATTATATTCCTTCCTTAAGTATAAAATATAAAGACGTGATTTTCTATTGATTGACTAAAAGAAAGCATATTTTGTTTATGGTTTCTATAAAATATGTTTGAATTCCCAAGACCATCGAAAATCAATGGGAAAATGCATGCTACTTAAGTAGTCATTTTTTACCGAGCACGCTTCTTACAGGAGATTAAAAAGAAGTGCATTTAAAAGCCGACATCCTGCCAGGTGCGAAATGTTATAAGAGTATGCCACAAGATAAGCAATATTACAACCGCGACCAAGTAATCCTTCCTAATCGAAAACGCATCTCAGAATTTCAGCCAACATCTCATGAGATAGGTCACTCACTGTAGGTTCACCAGGAAGATAGAACGGTGGGTGGACCTAGCTGCGGACTACACGGCACACCCACAGACTGTTGATTGTGGAATGGCAGTGAAATAAGCGACCACGGACCATGCACTGGAAACGTCTTTAGACCTAACGGGACACCGGTCTGGAAAATCGGCTATCTCTAAAAACGTCGCAGGCCGGAAATGCATTACAACATGGCTTATGTTGTTCATCCCCCAAAAAAGGCCCACTCGTCACTATGCGGCAGGGCGGATGGAGGCGTCCATGCAAGCGGCGCCCGTCGACCCACGGCTTGGCAGGGCTTTCGGACGGTCTGCACACACCGGCCGATCTTGCTGAAGGTCACTCTCGTCGGGAGGAGTCACCTCTCGCGTGATAAGAATGACAGAGACGGCGCAGCAGGAACGAAAGGTACCAAATGGGCTCCGTCAGAGATCAAATCGGTTGCTCTATCGGAGGCGCTCTCTCAGCCTCTTCGTCACACGGAATAAAAGTAACGTGGGATGCATAAATAGTCTTGGGCCAAGTGTGGGGAAGTAATTACGAAGACCCATTACGGACTGCTGACCCCCTGGGTGTAATGCTCAACCTCAAATGAGTGCCTACCACCAAATGTTTCGGGAGCTAACTGTTGGAAAACAGTTATCCGATCCCCTTTGTGAGATGGAGAACTTAATGCCGGTCAGCTGTTGCAAAAAATGGGGGATTCTGCGTTAACTCACACAAAATACACCTTGCTTACTACAACAGCAGCTAAAAACGTCCGTTGTATAAATTCCTACCATCTACTGGGCAATCTAGAGAGTTTTCGTTGTTTTTCTAGTATCCAGCTCTGTCGCATGGATTGGTACGGTGCTCCTGCCGCTATACTCACCGCGGTTTCACGTCTCTTTTACGCAAAGTGACAGTTATCTTCTGGGATTTCTTTTATGGTTTAAGCCCTGAGTAGAAAAAATGTGTGGTTCTCAACCTCTGACACCTTAGAAGTTCACAGTACGGGACGACTGACGCTCAAAGTTCAGGTCCGGATGCTTAAAACTCAGTGCGAGCAAGCAAATCGACCTCACTCCTCTTTCTAGGATCAACGCCAAGCCCGGATACGGCTGAGTGTAGACAGTATTGTGTGCAGTGGGGTCTCCGTCAAACGCATGATACACACGAGCACGGAAGCTGAGTATCGTTAAGCTCACAGTAAGGAAGCATTGCAGTTAACGCCTCAAGTGGCGGCATTAAAAGCCGCGAATTTTAGTACGTCGATCGAGGATCAAGTGCATCAGATCCACCGTAGTTGAGAGTGCCCCTAAAGCCTCGATTTAACGAGCGCGAGACCACTCACCAGACAGAGTAAACTGGGCCTTCTACGGAAGGCAATAGTAGAGGTTTCTCTTTTGCAGTCTGCACTGAATCAAAACTCACAGACCAGTCGGTGCGTTTGGATAGCATTTATGCTCTCCTCAACTACCCTCACCAGCTTCCTAAATTTAGGAATTTTATGGGATCCTCTAACGACCAACTCTAAGTGGTGAGTGCTATATTTAATCATATAATTCAACGTCACACTCCCGACTGATTTCGACGATTCCATGAGACTGGGTGCAGAGTTACGCATCAAACCGATGCAACAAAAAGGGGCATATATCAGGCAACCACAGACAAGAAGCAGAACAAGACAAAGAATACTTTTTTGTATTGTTTTTTGCCTTTTCTGGACAAAAAATCTGAATACAGGGGTGAAAAAGTAGGGCTTAAAATCCAGAGGAGGAGTGGGGAAGGTGACGAAAGACGAAGATCACATGGGAGGGATTTGGCGGGGCGCAATGTCACAATTGTAAGCCTAGTCGGAGGTGGACTAGACGTCCACACACGGGATAGCATTAGGTAGCTTCAACAGCCATTCGGTGATGGGATGAAGAGGGCGAGGAAGAGTGACGATCTCCATGAGCTAAAAGCGAAAGGACAAAAACGATGCTTCATTAAGGACCGACGCTATGCACAAACGCTACTCTCGGAAGATGGGCCGCGAACACAAAATCCCAACCACAGAAACCCGCCAGGGAAGATGTGCGCACTTGCGAAGTACCAACGTCTGCATCTCAAGTGAGGTTCGAAACACATCAGAAAAACACAGCGAAAACAGTGCTTTGTCATCGGCCTCGGGTTATAAACAGGGCAAGCAAGCATGTCCCATCCTCAACGGTGGTGGGAACAGACTTCGAATAATCAGGGACAAGTCGGCGGGAAAAGAAGAATCAACAAACACAACGCTAAATCAGGCTGGCTCACGGCACGCGTAAACTAGGCTGCGCAGTCTGCATCGTTACTGGAGTGGAGAATCCGAGGTCAAATAGTAACTGGCAGACCGGATCTAAAAACGATGCTTCGAGAAAACCAAAGTTTGAAATTTGGGTGGCATATATGACTAGTTACTTTGGCAATTCAGATGCATATAAACTGCTTTATTGATATATTTATTGATATATTTATATACTACATTGTAGACCATAGCCGGTTGTCTAGGTTGTTCCTCGAAGGTGAAGATATTTGTGAAGTCTGTAGAAGGCGTTTTCTTTGAGTGTGTCCATGACTTCTTCTGCGCGTCCGTCAAAAAACGATTGTGGGAAATTGGATTCTTTGAGGGAGGAGAGAGCGCGGGCTTCAGTTGGCTGTAAGGCATGCTTATTTTTCTCAGCGCCGGTCACGGAAGTTATGCTTGAATTTGCGAAAATGCCCGATGAAAAACACCAAAGACAATTTGGCCCTCATAAGCCTGCTTTTGACCAATTCTCTTCAGGCGTAATCGCTTGCATTAAAATTTAAAATAACCAAAATACATAGGCCGGCGTAGGGGAATAGAATGACGGTCACTGTCACTGTCGACGACTGGCTTGTTGGCTTTGGACCATGGTAACCGCGATGTTCTTCTGTGCAAACAGGGCCGATTTGCACTCGCCTCCGCCATAGCCAGCGGTTGTTGTCCACGTGGATTTGGACCGCGGATGGAAAGGAAAAACGATTCCTTTATGTACACTAGGTAAACGATCAGGCGATCCCAGAGCGAATTCTAATTTTTCACATACATATTACTTCAGAGACCGTGCACACAGATATATCACTCATTTTTTCCATTCTCAAATCCTATCTGTTGAAGCTGGAACTTTTAGTATACTCCTGTAAAAGCACATACATTAGAAAAAGCTGATGTACTGAAATCAAAATGCTTAGATGTGCTCAGAATGACGGGCGTATTTTAGGACGGGAAGCCGGTTTGACCTTTTTACTAACATTTGTACAATAAGTGACCAATCTCATGAAATGTTGGATCAAATTCTTAAAGGACTTTTCGATAAGGAAGGATTACGTGGTCGCGGTTGTAATACTGATTACCTTGCGGCGTAATCTTATAACAGATCGGACGCTGCATGATGTCATCTTTTGAATACACTGCTTTTTTATCTCGCGTAGAAGCCGTACTCGGTAATAAATGACTACTTACGCAGCATGCATTTTTCCCATTGATTTGCGATGGTCTTGGAAATACATATATATTTTATAGAAACCATAAACAAAAATACGCTTTTTAGTCAATCAATAGAGAATCACGTCTTCTTTATATTTTATACTTAAGAAAGGGGTATAATTAGGTTTTAAGAAAGTTTCTAATTATGACTTTTTTTAAGACCGCGATATGTCCATTCACATATCAACGTAGCTGGCCGTTTACCACTGCTCCTCATGAAATGTACTGCATGGTCCGTATCCATTGCAAAAGTTTATGGACTCTGTATGATATCTTTTAGTGGCATAGAAAAATATGTGATTTTCTTTACGCGGAACGCATGCACCTTGTAGAGTGAAATCACTAAGCGCTAATGCAACGAATGGTCAGACTCCAAATTATTCCGCAATTAGAAAACTTTTTAAAACCTAATTATACTCCCTCCTGAAGTACAAAATAGGAAGAAGTCGTAATGCTCTATCAAACGACCGGAAGAAATCATATTGTTGTTTATGCTTTCTAAAAGATATAACTGAATTTGCAAGACAATCGAAAATCAATGGGAAAAATGCGTGCTACTAAAGTAGTCGTTCTTTTTTTTACCGAGCACGCTTTCCACAGGAGATTGAAAAGAAGTGCATTTAAAAGCCGACATCCTGCCGAGTCCGAAATGTTATAAGAGTATGCCGCAAGATAATCAGTATTACAACCGCGACCAAGTAATCCTTCCTAATCGAAAACGCATTTTAGAATTTCAGCCAACATTTCATGAGATCGGTCCCTCACTGTATCTACCGCCGTTCTTCTAGGGAGTGTGGTTCTACGCCCCAACGTCGAGTCACTGCGTCCAATTCCACCACCCCTTGATTAACAGGCTTGGACAGTCGACTGGTGCATGGGAGGGCGAAGCGAAGGCAGGGTCGACAGTCGGAAATCCACCAGCACATTCCTTACCATAACAAGTCTGACGTGCCTGAATTAATCCCGACGTGCCAATGATAACTGGGTCCTTCACAGAGCTGAAAGTCGGGCTGAAATGGCCCCGTCTTAATGTTGATTCAATGACACTCCTGCATATTTGTGTTACGGACCGCCCTCAGCGAGGCCTGATAATGCTGCGTTGACCAGGTCGTGTGTGTGGCACGCACAGACGGGCTGTTTGGTCACGTCAGTCAGTGCGCGCGAGCCCGCCCCCGGTCGTCTTAATACCGCCTTGTCATTGGAGTCAGATGACTGAGAGCGGAGAGAGGGCGGTTGGTGTTAGACACAAGTCAAATCACCAGTGCTGTATCCACTCTGCGGGGTACATGGTGGACTTCGTCAATGTTCAACTGTCGGCAGTAGCTTACCATCGCAAACTGCGGGTCGTAAAAGGAGGTCTCGGACACAGGCTAGTCAACCTACGGGAGCTGGCGAAAGATGGCACATGATTACGGTCTTTTGAAAACATACAAAAGGAGCTGGCAATGTGTTAATAGAAGCGAAGAGGCGGGTCCCAGGAGGTAGTCAAGAAGGAGGAGACACGATCTCTGGAACAGGCGCTTTATTAGCCTGACGTTTCGGATTCGCACTCGAAACCATAATCAGATACAGAGCCAGATAAGGGCAGTTGGCCGCCCAGGTGTTGCAGTATTTATGGGATGCAGGTGTTACGCCACTACATGTCAATTACAGTTGGCAGTTCCCGAGTGCATCATGGTTCGACTGGCCAGGTGTTGAAGTATGCAGTTGCTATAAGCCTACGTTCCGGTCAAGATTATTGGCTCCCTTACTCATCGCACGCAGACGAGTTGCTGACTGCCGGATTTCGTTAACCGTGCAATTTGGTTCGCCAACACTGGCACCAGGAAAAGTGGTCACCCACACACTCCGCGTGGTTAACTGCTTTACCTACACAAAGTTGTGGGGAGCTCGTTGCATTTGTTGATTGAGGACCAAAAAACCATGACTGGAACAGTTAGCGGTTCACACGCTTATTGCCTCTAGTAAGAATTTCAGCTTTGTCCAATTTGGACGTGTGGTTGGTTGAGCCGCGACTTATGAGCTGGCGTCATTCCTCTTTACTGCTGCTGCGTGTTCAGTTATCCGCGTCTCGAGTAGTTTTCCGGTTTCTCCAACATAGTTGTTTTGTGTACAAGTGAACTGGACCTGGTAAACGACTCCAGATGTTTCTGGCCGTGGGTCTTTCGGCCGGGTAGTGTGGCATGATCTAGTAGCCTTAGATTCGGACACACCAACACGCTAATATAGGGACAAAACATTTTACCAAACAACAACCAGTATAACCTCAATGGCGGGCAATACTTGTCATGTATTAGCGCGTCGATTTGCGACCGACTTTTATAGGTGACGTATTCGCTCGGCTGGTGCACCGTTGCATGAACTGCGACCGCTTATTCGTCAGAACAGATGGTGTACATTTACTTAGCAGCTAGGTTTCACTAAAGACCACTCCACTATCTGCCAGTTGTGAACGCGTCAGGTAGTGTAAAGCTAGGCTACCGATGAATTCTCATCGTCTTCCCAGAACACGCAATGTAAAAATGACCTCAAACGCACTCGGTTAGATGGACAGCTCACTGTCATGGCGTTCAGCTTCGAATACGTGCGTAACTGACCACGGAGGGCTGACCTAACCATCGGCCGGTTGTAAGGATTCGAATATGGTGCTCAAATGAAAAGCGATGTTGTCCATGAGACCTCTTTTGTCAGCTTCATCCGACCACATTTGGCAACCTAGATTCCCAATCGAAGAAGCCGACAATATGAACTCCACGGTTAAGCTGAAAACTGAGAAGTAATGTTAAGAGAACTGCCAGATGCTACAGACTGCGGTCAAACCGACTGCCCAGCACATGCAGCTTAGAAAGCATGTGTTATGACAGTGATTCCCATGTTACACGTAAACGGCGCTCGCTGATGCCTCCTGATTGTAGGACGAAATATGGACTTCCTCGTCTTGTCCTCGACGGGAGTCGTCGAGGGCTGTCACACAGAGACCCGGGTTTAAATCCCAAGTCCCCAGGGTGCTGGAGCATCGCCGGCCGATGACGGAAAATACGCCAGAAATGGTCATTTTAGACTCTCTTGTATTCGTCATTATCAGTTCTCGGCGTCCATTTTGTTTCTGGGTTACTGTGCAGGGCGGAACCAGAATCCAGGATGTTTCTAACTTCCTTCACGACCCACAGAGCTCATGACTTGATCAGATACAATTTAATATTGCAGTAATTTTATGCTGCCGATCTGCGTCTGTTGGTGTGTAAGAGAACAATTTCAAAAGGCATGGTTGAGTCCGCACCCCAAACCCCAACTTCTTCCAAGAGAGCGACACCGCTTGACAGCTAATTCAGGCAGTTAAAAAGGACACTAGCCTACTCCTAGACAAGAACCTACCGTGACTTGTTTTTTCCGCCCGTTTGGCCCGGTGTTCTGTGGGTTCTGGCTTGGGTACCTCCGTTCGAGGCACTTCTGGAAGCTTGTCCGCATCGACGGCCAGGAGCTGCTCCAGTTCGGACTCCACCTCGGCGTCATCGGATGATGAGAGAACGCCCGCCAACAGGTTGGTCAACTCCTGTAATAGCGGGAGAATGTAGATTATGCAATGAACAGAGCAGGCGAGATCTCATGGAGACCTGGTTAATTATTCCAAATGGTCACAAAATTGGCAAAACACAGATCAGAGCTACTTATAACCGCCTTTAAATGGGTAAGAGCGTCTTAAAAGGTTTACCTGAATTGCGCAAGTAAGATGTGGCCTTACATTTACATATACCGAGTGACATTCAGGTACTTCGGTAAGGAATCTCCCACCGAAATACGGAATCACTCAGAACATAATTACTAGTTAGTAATATACTGAAGTAACTTTTTGATTCTGATTTTCCCTGGAGATAACAAAAATCCGTTTAGACATTTTGCGGAAAAGTACGCTACCTTGAACGTTTCTGTTGAAAGGCGGAGCATATTTCGGTGTTAAAGGAGGTTCTCGGAATGCACACCACCTCAGCTATTCGAGGTGTTTCAAGACGGTGGTCATAAAACATGCTTAATCATAAACCGAATGCACACACGGTAGAAGGGTTCTGAACGTGACACAATAATAATAATGGTAATAATAATAACATAACATCACAATAGCATAACACTTTACTCTGAAGACCCCATCATTCGATCTCAAAATAGTCGCGTATAACTGTGTTGACCCTTTCTAAATGTGTCCTATGCTACTATAACAATACTTCCGGTCATTCACACAGTTTCAGATCGTCCTACAAGAACAGTTTGGCTGACACATCATGGGGACCCATTTTGGCGGACAAACGATACAGTCTTTACTAACTTGAAGCAGTTTGTTCCCGGTACGAAGCCGAAGCAAGCATGCAGGGCAGGATCTATTGGTACCAAAAAATTCTGTCACGGCTCGTGCAGAAAATCGATGCATAAACAACGAGGTTATGGTTTTGGGTAATGTCGGCTAAGTGATAATGGTACCAATAATTCCTGTCTTTATTAATTGTCACAGATGACTATGCGCGTCCATTTAGTCTGGTTGGAGAAGGCGAAATAAAAACTTGGGCCACTGCGCCGGCCTGCGGGGACCAGGCAGCACACTCTTCTTAACAGCCAAAATGACAGAACACAGTGTTCTCACCCGGACACTGCTCTCTAGGGGACAATGCACGCACCTCCAAAATGTTTCGAAAATGCGAACAAATGTCACCGTAACAGCAGACTTTCTATGCTTTCTCATGTAATTCTTCGAAGTGAGACAAGGATTAACCTCGCACGCTCTCCCTGGTCAAGTACACTTTCAAAGCCCCAGGCAAACAATCGTTGATAATGTGGTTAAGTCAGGTCCGGAGATGGTGCTGGACCCGGCGGTCCTCGATGTTCCGGAATGAAACTCCGAGTGGAGGATTTTTAGGAGCAGCCGCATTATGATGTCCCCAACTCGGGGGTTAACTACACACGCCTTAATACAAACCCGTGCAAGTACCCGTACCTGAACCTTTTAGATAAGAAGGAAGTCTCACAGGAAGGGGGTTGACAGAAAAGCACTGCCCATCAACAGCGGATCTCGACCCGTGTCAGTGCTACGTCTGACTCCCCGCCTTGTCGAGTTAAACAAGACTGGCAGGAGAGGGGAGTAAGCAATCGAGTCAAAAGTGGTAACTTGCCTCCTGATAGGCCTGCGCTTCCTGGGCGTCACTCATAATCTTCTCCACATCCTCCAATTTCATGAGGGCGTTGAGTTGTTTCAAGGCCTCATTGCCTTTCTTCAGACTATCCAGCACTTTGACCTGAACCTGTGCAAATTCTACATCTTGAATCAGTCCCTCCACCGTTGTGAGGTGCTCATCTGCCTTGACTAGGAGTTTCTCCTGATATTTCTTCTTCTTCAACAGAAGCAGAGCCTTCCTAGGAGAAGGACAAAAAACTGCACAGTGGTGAATTTCTGGCACAGTGGGGCAAAGGGGAGCCTTCAGACAGTAGGTATTGCAACATAATGCCCGACGACTTGATCGAGGGGCATATATGATACCTGTTCTGTCGCATCATGAGGCATGCAAAGTGTGCGTTGAAAGTTGAAAAAACTGGTGTAATGGGACGTATTGCAGAAGTAAAGGCGATATGTGGAACTAGAAGTAGGGTACGGGTAAGGTGGGAAGGTTAGCGGGATGACTATGAGAGGCGGAGTGATAACAGTTAGGTATCGCAGGGAAGATTTATGAGAATGATTGAGTAAATAAAGCGAAGTGTCGATCCAAAGGAGGGCAAGTGTGAAGAGAAAATAGCTTGCTTACTTTCTTTCCTGCTGCCTTAACAACTGTCTAATGGCGGCGTCGTCCCTGGTTATAGCAGCGTTCACTCGTTGCTTGTATTGTTTAAGTTGGTCACGCTGCTGTTTCAACTGCAGCAAGGCCTTGTCCTCTTCAGTAACACGAGACCGACGGTGACGACCAAAGATGGCGCCCATCTCAAGGCAAGGTGTTGCGCGTCGATTAGGCCACTTCCCGTCTACGCAAAATAATGGAAGAAAAGGTGGTTAAGAGTCGTCTCATTACCACCCAATTGTCTACAACAGTGGGGAGAGTTGTTGAGACGAATGCTACATCTCGCTACTGCTACTGCAACTAATAAGATGCGCCTTCAGGGGAAGAACGCTGATAAATCAGGGGCAAGTTATCAGCAAGATGTAAATCTGATGATTGGCAAGCACGGGTGACTGTTCTTCTAAAAGCGCTAATTAAGGACCCTGGCTTCAACTTAGTCAAAAACGTTTTCTGCGGAATCTTCATGAAGCTGTCTAAGGAAGAACAGCAAAGTAATTTATGAAAATGGCAAAGTCCGCAAGGTTTCTCCTGAATGATCGATTCTACTTTTGCAGACGCAGTGATGGTGACAACACGAAGTGGTTAAAAGAAGTTTGCGCCGAAATTCGACAACACAACGCTGCTAAGTTGACTGTAAAAATGGGCGTTAGACACTGCTACCAAAGAAGACCCAGATTTGAAACACAACACGAAGGACAGAAGAAAGACGTTTGCCCTACCTTTAGCGCGAAACTGACCAGTCAACCGGTACTAAGTCCGTGTATTAAATACCAATTCTATGACTTTGGGGACCTGATATCCGATACCAAAACGCAGGGTGCAGTAATCCTCGTCCATAGGACATTCCAGCCATTACTTAGGGGGTAAACACGTAAAATAAACATGGTTGTGGTAAAGCCCAAGTAATCACTTCTTTTGCTGTTACTGCATCTTCACACCAGGCTGTCGAATGTTCGAAACTCCAGTATAAAAAACAGAGATGAGGCTCATCAGAGGGAACGAGCGGTGCTGATACCAATGATAAAAAGGAGTATCTCAGACACGTGCGCTCACAGTTTAAGCATCTAAAAATTGAGTAATTTAACCTGTAAAACGCCTATTCCCTTTGCATGATACACAGCTTGCTGATATGCTCAGAGGCGCAGTCAACACGATGTCGGTGTTGTTTGGGGAAAACATCGATTAGGGCCAAATGGTTCTATGACATCAAAGGCCAATTTTAGCTGAAATATCATTAGAAGCCTTATCCGACAGTAGCTAAGTCAGATTTGAAAACACGTTCCACGTGGAACGGTACGGAATCATTTATAGAACAGACATTACGCAGTTATTCCACGGAGGTTTATTGGTTTTGGTTTGGGAGCCCACTAGAATTCTTGACCGACTCCCGGAATTTGTGTCTAGAACATTCCGCCTTGGCTTATTTCATAAATCCCCTCTAAAGGCATTTGTATAACGTTACGGACGTTACAAAGTCCAGAAAAGGCAGGAAATAAGTTCCTGTGGAAAGGAGGTGTAAGGCAGGGACCATTTCTCGGACTCTATGTATACAATGTGATCGAAAGTTCGCAAAACTGTGCTAATAAACAGTAGGAATGCATAAAAAAGTTCTCACCGGGACACGAACAACTCTGCGAACAACACAACGGCTGCGGACAGACTTTAACGCCAATCAAATGTGTGCAGAAAAACACTAATAGACTCGGTCATCTGAAGTAAAAATCCAGGATCTGAATCTGCATTTTGTGTCTATGGGTTCCGGGATAGTTCGCAGCGCTCTTAAGGAAAATGCGACTGTATTGCATCCAATCTAATCACTGAAGCAACTAGCAGAAAAAAACGCTGTTTGTAGGAGATGAGAGGACGAAAAGCAGGGAGAATAGAAAACTATTGCCGAACCGCCGAGAATAGTATGTGTCAAAGCACTTTGGCGAGAGCCTAGCCTGGTGTCTTAATAATGGGTGAATTTGATCCATCAGTCGTTTGTCTGGAGCTTAGTAGATGCACTTGGCCCAGGACTAACGGCTGCTCGCCGTTTACTGGACATGACGCTCAGGTTTTCGTCACCCAACATGTCTTGCTTCAGAAAAAGGTATGTGAGGGGCATACGCTAAACTGTCAGACGTGATGCCCACGCAGCCGCTGGACAACATTAATCATGTCCAATTTCTATCTCCCATAGGTCAAGGCAATCTTATGGTATTTCTCTGGGAGTATTCCCTATTTTTAATGCCGGGTCAACTCATCAATGTTATAAAAAAAAAACATTCGGCGTGGTCATTTCGACCAAATGAAAACCGAAGTAAACTGCGTAACCTGCCAATTAACTTTTTTCTGGCGACATATCAGAAGATTGGAAATGGTTAAATGAATTATTGACTATTTTCCTCCGAAACTAGTGCTTAAGTTCACGGATGTGTTTGAGCAACAAACCCTACTGGTCGATGTATGCATTAAAAAGAAAAACAAACAAATAACGGAGACTATTGAGGAGATTTGTGTGACGTACCATCGTACCCCCTGTTGATTCTGTCCTACATCCCTAATGCAGAGATTTCGGTAGCAATGTTTCGATCGGCTTTACTTGTTTGGACGGTGGTTCTTCTCTGCATTTAGCTGCTTACATTATGTTATTCCGTTGTCCAACCTTGTTTAGAGATATGCTCCAGCATGTACTCGACTACCGTATTTTAGTTCTCACTCGGTGCTTCGCTGTCTACGCATAGTTATATTTTTCTGCCTACCACCTTCTAATCATCGTTACGACATCTCTTTCCGTTTGAGATACATGCCTGGTTGACATCAACGGGCTTTAAATTATCCTTGGTTCTTAATTATCCCTTGAAGTGTGTGACCCACGACCGCCTGCCCCTTACCGACCGACCCCGCCTGCTCCGTTGTTTGGCTTGCAATTTCCTCGGGCATGCGTCGTTACGGAATAAATAGAAGGAGAGATTATTATGCGCAATATTAGAATACTTCGTGGGAAGACAAAAGACCAACTTATGAACAGCTTTGAAAACGTCTTCGGCGGATATCCGTCATTCCCCCTCTGTGTCTCCTCTGATTAACAGGTCGGACATTCATTGTACTTTACGCTGACTTCAAAATATGACGTGCCTCTTCACGACCGTTGTGAGGCTTACGCCGGCTGGGTCGCTCACCGACATAGCCAGATTTTCTTCAGGAATTCCAGAAAGTTTTCAAAATGTTCTTTGTTGTTTTTCTACTACTGCCAAATACCGATTGCGTTCACACTACCCCTAGTGGGCTCGCGTTTGCCCAAATGAACACGTGGCCGTCTGCGTGTTGGTGTAGTCCCTGCAGTTTCATACTCCGTCGGAATCGACATTCCGGACGATATGGAAACAAGCTATCTCGTCGACAGTTCTCCTGTACATCGGCGAAGTTAACTGCTGTTTCAATTTTCGCAAATGGTTGTGTTGTCATCCCGCGACCCCACCCTCCACCACGGCTTCCTGGACACTGATCTGCGATTGGTTAGAATCCACCACAAACTCGCTACTCTCGAATGCAACGCTTTTACTTATGCACACAGTCACCTCTTTCTCCGGCTAATTACAATTTATCTAACTTATCGTTTTTTCCCTTTAAAGAGTTAGAGTAGGCTTTATCTTCCATCCCAAATCATTCGGGCGGATAGAATGCTCACGAACTAATCCCAGTTTAGTTGATTTATGGCGTACAGTTTGGGGAAAAAATCGTATTTCCAGATTAACATCCCCAACTTATCCTAATTTATTTGACTTGATTGGAAAAGAGTAGGATTCTTCTAGGACAAAAACTGACGTTTTCATTCGGAGTCTTGCTTTATTTTATTTGTCTTGCATTTTTGGTGACCGAGAATTTCCTCTTCCGTCCCGAATTCCTACCTGATCCTATTGCCTATTCCTGCTTGATTTTCCCGCTATATAATAGGGCGTTCCACTCCCACTATATTTCCGGGAGTAAAAACAAGCTCTTCGTCCCTAAATTGTAATTACTTATCTTTCTGGGGTGAAACCACGACAAATCTCATAATTTGCAATCATCCGCTGTTGTGGACTGCCCTCCACCAAGCCGACTGTCTTGCCCTTTTTACGGTATAACCTTCAGAGTACCTATGCTTTCTCGTTGGTCACTCAGCCTAGGATAAATTCCCTTTCCTTCATTAGCCATTTTCTCCCGCCTAGGTGGTTTCCGCATCCCTAATTACCTACGTTGTCTCCTATTTATTATTTAGCGTTCTTTTTTGGGGCTCCAAAGTCAGCTTAGACAAGAAGTCTTACTTATGCTTGTTTTGCAATATTTTGGCATTACTGGCCATTTTATGTTCTTCTTTATACAACCCCTTCGTAAAACTCGTATTGTAACCATTCCCATTTTACACGCGACCTTGGCTACCACGCCCTCAGTACGGTTGGATACTGTAATGTTGCGAAAGCTCTCGATCGCAGGAACCCCTGTACGTGGATGCATAAAAAGCCCAGAGAAACCTAGTCAAGCACATTTTCCCAGGAACACGACGGGATTTCGTAAAAGTCCTCCTGGACCGTGTTGTGGGTAATCCGAAGTTATTTTTCGGTCGGGTAAAAGGAGAACGCGAAACAGAGATCACAAAACTTTGATGAAGGCCTAGAAATCACTGGAGACGGATCAAAAGCCCAGTATATTTCTCAGTTTTTAAGTTTATCTTTAGGAGAGGGAGCGAAATTAATCTCTCCGAATTAGACTTCGTGGAAAGCCCAGTAATTGATGTATTGTCGTTTACGGAAGCCGTTGTTCGTGAAGAGCGGTTGACGCAGACTCAGCCAAGGCCACGCGCTCCAGATAATGTACAGTCCAGATTCCCGAATGACCTTCCGTTCGAACTAGCCAAACCTCTTTTGATGTCTTTCGCAGCCTCGTTCGAAATCTGCTGTTTTTCCCGACAGAAAATCTACAGGGATCAAACCGCAACATAAAGTCGGTGCAGAGTCTCCTAAAATAACTTTGAACCAATCGGCCTATTTGTGATCTGCTGCAGAGTTATTTGAAAAGGAATAAATCGAGAGTTAGTGCACTTCTTCGAGCACCATAATCAATTATGTGATCCCCAGTACAGATTCCGTAAAGGCCGAACTTGCGTGACAAAATTGATATACAGCCTACAACACTGGACGCGAGCAGTTAGTGGAGGGAAGGCGACGCATGTGGTGTACATTGTCTTCAAAAAACGTCCGATAGTGCACAACATACGAGCCTCCACCACAAAGGCAGCGCTTGGGGCAGTCTTGTTAGTTGAACTGGAAGCTCCTTCATCGGTCTCTCTCAAATTGTCGAGGTCGGCGACCAGCGACAATTTGAGAGAGACCGATGAAGGAGCTTCCAGTTCAACTGGGCCTGGACTGTGAAATCTACGAAATGGCCGAACGGCTAGGGCGAAGTCACAGAGAGTAAAGGTATTAGTTTAAAGTGCGGCGCCGGCTCGGAGACGAAGCATTCGGATTTTAATTAAACGTTTTGGATAAAAACATTGAACTTACGAGCGGTTATCTTAGCGTCTGCTATGGGATTTCCGAATGCGTCTTATAGGATGGGCTGTTGCGTTTTTTGAGGTTTTTGTGTGTGCGGGAAACGTCTTGCGACGTTCAAAGAGCAGTTTTGGTAAGGCCAACCCCTGGCCGTTTTTCCTGGGACAACGTCTTTGTGGGTCAAGGGCTGAACTTAAACGTCATTGTGCAAAGGAAATCGACAAGGGGGCCTACGTATCCTACGGGAAAAAGATAAAAGGGAGGATAACCCCATCTGTAACAATAATTATCTTCTTATGGGGAATTACACGATGAATAATGCGATCCAAAACTTTGCGAAGCCTAGTAATGCAAATAATCACATTCAATTTAGGATGAAATCAGTTCACTTGGAAGAAATAATGTGTACAAATAATTCTGCCGAAATAGCTGATTGGAATGCGGGACTGAGGCCATATTTTTTTCCGAAAAAAACATCCTCATCTTCGATTTCAAATGCAGAAGCAACCATGTCGTGTTCTGAACTGTAGGGTGGGCGCAAAAGTGATATTGACAGAGACAGACAACCTTCATGGATTAGTAAAGTGATGCCACGTACCGATGTCCACAGGCTCGAACAAGGTCTCAAACTTTCTGGGACCGGGGTTAAAAACCAGTAGACTTCAGGAAGACTGAAGTCACCTGCAACCAATAAAAGCCTAAGATTTAAATCGGACGCGACATGAAATGCTCGTAAATGAAATAAATTAAATTCCTCACCGGCGGTGGGTGGGTAATAGACCCAGCTAACGATTAATAAGTACTTACTTTCTCAGGCAACTCGAAGCCAACAGCTGTCTTCTACTGCGAAAAAATATGGGAGATCCTGCAGCAACAATGCAAGTGCTTGATTTTCATAGATGCAGGTTACTCCACCGCGGCTGTCTTAGCAGTCATTTCGAACGTAGGTGTACCTTGCTGTATAGACGGCAATTAAGACTACAAAGAATAATAAATACCTACTCTAAGTGGGGGATGCTGCGTTTCTTACAAAAAAAATAACGGCAGCAAAAAGAGTATAGGGAAAACGGCGAAAGGTAAGAAATTGTACAGACTCACGAAGCCTCCTCCGGAATCGGTTGTCGTAGAGTTAATGCTCCGGGTAAAGTCCAGAAGGCCCCTAGGTGAAGTCAGTTACTGGAGCTTGTTTCTCTGGTAAATTCACGTCTGGTTGTATATGACCGAACGATAAAAATGTTTCCTGGCGACTGACTAAAATCGATTGAGGCACTTGTGTGCAATCATCGAAAAAGGACACCAAGCAGCAGACTGACACAAAAAAACACGCTTCTTCCCAAACCAAAACAATGTGTGTGTATATCAGCAAGTTTAACCAGTAGTAGAGAAAGGTTCAGGTGTACAAGAAATTTTAAAGGGAAAAATCGAAAATGTACGTAAACCTACAAGCTTAAGACTGGGAGTTCGAAGTCAGATACAGAAGACTTTGCCCATGTCTCAGTTGCAAAAGCAATGTTTGGACGGTAGACGAACATCGTAGGCTGAAGAAATGGTATCTTATTTAACAAGGATCTGGCATTTTGAATGAGAAGTTTATGCGGGTAACACGGTCAGTGTCTAATGGGAGGGGAGTTGAGTCATCGAATGGTGGACTGTCCACAGAGCAAAGGGATCGGGAACTATCGTCAGGTTCTGTAAAAAAAAGTGTATGCCGTCAAATGCGCTGATGTGGCTAAAAGAGAGAAGGGTAAAGAGGAGGAAATTGTGGATAGGAAAACTGAGCATTTGCGCCAGCTAGCCAAAGTTGTGCATGGAATCCACGGGCGGGTAACAAAACGTATTTATTGAGGACCGGGGGGGTTTACTAGCCCTGTGGGAATACGACCGTAGAGATGTGCTGGATGGTAGGAGTCATACTAATTCAAATGGAGAGGGAACGCCATCCTTGACGGGAATATTGACATACTGGTTTTAACAGCTTTGATCAAGTGTCTGGGGGCGGAATATTTTGAAATGAGCTGTGTTTGGGGGGGGGATGGAGTTTGGGGGAGTGGCAAGCAATCGCGAAGGTGAACTCTTTATAGAGAAACTGGACTTCCTCCATGTTCGAGTGACGGAAACTGTACTACGACTTGACGTCGAACTAACCACCCGTTTAGGCCTATTAGAGGTCACCGGTGGACATGGCAAGAATGTGGATTTAAATAATGTGTTGTTGTGTTCGGAACTACAAGATGGTGCACGTCTCTGAATCCAAACCTCAACGTTCAAAAAGGAATACGAACCCTTGATAGCAGATACGTGATTGATCTTTACCTGCACCTAATTTTCGAAGCTACATAATTACCCCACGGACTTAAATAGATTGTTTGGTAACTCCCTCAGAAATGCTGCCCATATCTCCACGTAGCAGTTGATCTGATCTTTCGTCAGACGGCGCCGTGTTACTGCTAGTAGCGGCGCGTTCGTTAGCTACCAAAGGGTCGAGAGGTTCAGTACTGACCGAAGGAATTTTGGAATTTACAAGATCTCCAGGTTACGAAGGCACTCAAGCTCCCTCTATGTCTTTGGTCGAGTACTTGGATGAGTCTCCCTTACGTCAAAAGTGTGTCTAAACTCGTTCGAAGATACCTGAGAAAGCACCAAATACAAGTGGCACACAGACCAACGACTGCCTTATGCAGTCAGCTAATGCTCCCTAAGGATAGGGTTTGCTAGTTGCAGAAGGAAGAAGTCGTCTACAAGATCCCAGGAGAGAGGTGTGATGCCGTATATTGTGGCCAAATTACAAAGTCCGCCTTCATACGCATCCACGAACATCAATTGACGTTTGAAAGGCGAGACTACCTATCTAAAATGGCCATACGCGCATTAGATACCGGGCTTGCATTTACATGGCACAAGACTCGCATCATCGGCCTCTGCCCAACCAAAAGACTGAGAATTTCTTGGAACCATTCGCCAAATGAGTCATGCACTGAGCGGCATATAAAATTAAACGCCGTGAACAAAAATCTTATGGGAGGGTGGAAGAGACGAATGCCAAAAATGCACAATAACATATGCAGAGGAAGTTCACTGGCGGAATCGCCGGAGCACAGTTGAAATTTGGACTGTTTTGTACATTTACTCAAGTCTGACGACGACACGGGAAACCGACGTGGAAAATTTACTAATAAGGTCCTTTCTTTTCCCAAAGAACCTACTATCATCAATTGTAAGCACATCTAAACGTATACGATAGTTCGACGGTCGGTTTCGACGATGTCCACCGCATGCTCTACAGCAGGGTGGGAGCAGGGACGGTGACTAAACCGTGATTTGTAGTGAGAGTAGACATGCGCTGAATCTACCCTCAGCTAGACCCTGTGTTAAGACAGAAGCAACAAGACCGGAGACGAGGAAGGGCGCAGGCGGATGACGCGGCCGAGCCCGCACCTTGGCGTTTCACACCACACCCCCTGGTACACACAACAAATAACCAGGTTTTTGGTCAACAACAACAAAGCGAATGGAGGCTGACGTGGCCGAAGCCGCACCTAGGCATGCCGCCACATCCGGCTCAGATCCCACTCAACGGAATTACCATAGGGACCGCATGAAGAGTAGCCATTGCAGCCTGACTCTTAGACCACTAGCCGGTTACTGCACACAAACACAAAACATTGGGCCGACTGCGAGGTCGAAGTTATTCTTTCAGATGGCCACCTTGCAAGCCACGGCTGTTGGCGCACCGTGATGGCTTCAAGCGCGTCAGATTGTTTATAGTGAGGCAAATGCGCGCAGTCGTCGACTGCACTGTCTATTCCCATTCCCAGGCCCCAGTCAGTGTCCAAGCCGTTCATTTGACTGTTGTGGGGAATGGGTGCAGTGGCTGGCATGGTCGAGTGACCTTGTCTGCGCACGCTACATGTACGATCTGGTTCCACAGACACAAGCGATAGAATTTCACACAACGGGGAGTTGAACGGCGCGCCTACCACTTGCGTGGGAGTGCCGTGGAAGGAGCTATTTCGGCCCGGCTCCCCGCCCACCGGTGTGCCAATCTACACAACACACACACAACCAGACGGACTGCGTAAACCTAGTTGGAGCGTTAGTCAGTTGCCTTCAAATCCACGGCGCTTAACACACTGGGATAATCGAAGGCTCGAGTTATTCATGCAATGGGAGGTGCATGGAGACCGAGTGGAGACTCACACTTACCACTTGCATAGCAGGTGGCAGTTGTATGCTTGCGGTAGCTGATGTTGATGTGTGATGAGATGCTGGCGAGGGAGAGTGTCGTGGTGAGATGCAGCCGGCGGTTGTCTATCGCAGGTTTTCGTGGATGCGCATGTGGCCGAACAGGCCCATGCCTTGCATGAAAATTTAAGGGCAGTGAGGACAATAGAGGAGGATGCAGCGGGTGATGGTGGGTGCTTCAGGCACTAGTTCGCCAGTCTCTGTGAGGTTGATTCACAGGTGACCGACCAGACCGATGCGTGGGGTGAATGTGCAGGGACAGTGGGGACACGAGAAGTCGGTGCTTTAGGTGTCTAAACGTATACAGTCAGTGACCGAGCCCATGAAATGCTAACCGAAATTGTTAAATGCGTATTCAATTAGGAAGGGTTACTTAAGTGAGTTTTTTGTATGTATTATCTCGCGACCCAGGACTGTGATATTTCAGACACTCCAAGAGGTTGGCTTAAAAATGCACTTCCTGCCGATCGCCTGTACTGGGTGCAATCAGCAAACGATGACTACTCAGGTAGTACGCACTTTCCATGTCGATTTTCGATGCCAAAACACGCACAATAATATTTGTTCTCGTGATCATTTGGTGGCAAATCACGTCTTCCTCAAATTTTATACTCAAATAATGGGCATCTTTCAGTTTTTAAAAAAGATTTTAATTATGTGACTTATAAGACTATGCAATACCCATTCAAATAGCATTGTATCTATCAGCCCAATAAGGCATACCATGAAGTACAGTAGGTAGGCTAACTCATGAAATGTCAATCGAAATTCCGAAAAGCGTCTTTGATTCGAAAAGATTTATTAAGTAGGGTTGTAAACTCATCAGCCTGCAACATAGTTCTAAAATATTTCAGTTACCCCAGGGTGCGGACTTTTAAACGAACTTCCTTCCGCCTGCATGGAAAAATTACATTCTGTGAAAAATGACTACTTAAATAGCATGACTATTCCCCTTGATTTTCGATGTCCCTAAAAGTCAAATTATATTTCATGGGAAACATGCATAAAAATATTCATTTGCTTGCTCATTCGGTAGAAAATACGGCTTCTCATGAAGTGTTTCACAATTTCAGCCAGCATTTCATAAGATCGGCCACTGGCTGTGTACGGCAAATTGTTCGCTGGTTCACGGATTTCTACGGCCAATGCTCCTTTTTATTTCTGGCACATGCTTCCTCGGTTGGTTTGCCCAGTTAATTTCATACACGGACGCTGCGCCTGAGAAGCTGCTTAAACGAGAGCACGCGGTTAAGTATCCTGGGCGTAGAACATAAACGAATCTTATCTCGCATCCAAACATCTATGAATTATGTGAGCCTGGTAATCATCAGGTGGATTCTAGTTGAATTATTTAGGAAGTCCTGCTTGGATAGTCAACTTACTTTATCAGATTTGGTGGTGTTGCAGTAGGTTGGGTGGGTAACTTGATCCAAATGTGATTAAACACGCGTCGTACGGCGAGGCCTCGTAGCCCAAGCGGTTACAACGTTGGCTGTACTAAAGCCTCCCCTTTAATGTCGTGGGTTTGTATCCCGCGTAAGTTGCCGAGGTTTTGACGGCTAAATGCCGTCTTACGACTGCATGTTAGGTCCAGATATACAACGGGATAAGCATGCCCGGTAATTGGCTGTACTGAAGCCTTCCTCTTACTGTCGTGGGTTCGAATTCCACCAAGGCGCCGAGATTTTCAAAGTTGAGTCAATATGAAGAATATAAAGGGTTTAGTCTGTATAGCTGTGTGAGGAATGTTTATGTTTATGAACCTCCGAGGTCATCCACTTAAACTACGCGTAACTGGCGCCAAGCTGGACACTCGGAAGTTCTTCTTTTCAAATAGAGTGATCGAGGCCTGGAATGCTCTGCCTGCAGGTGTCGTCATGTCCACCTCCGTGGAGACTTTTAAGCGCAACTTGGACCAGATTGCCACCAATCGTCATAATGCCACCTGACAGATTGTCTAGCATTTCGTTCGAACAGTTTATTAATGTTATTATATTACTTCCTGTATTTCAGTAACGTTTGTTTTTTTAATATTGTCCCATGTCTGTTGAATGCGTGTTGGCATTCAATTCGTCTCCCTCCGAAACTGAGATAGCACCAACTATCCCTAGACAGACTACTGTACAGCACATTTAGTAACGTTAATGTTTTTAACTCTTGGAACAATTCGTTTATCTGTCTGGCTTACAACACGTTGCCAATCTGAAGAAACTCTGTAACCGTTTGATGTTTCCATTTTCAATTTTTTTTATTGTTCGCCTTCTTTTAACAAACAGGGAGTTCAAAGGTTTAACACCTATATTTCCCTCAAATAAACTGAACTGAATATACAAAATCCCAGAAAGACATAGTTTTTAAGTCGCAGTATTATACTTTTCTCGGGTGTTTTGAAATGCAACTCCCGAGGACGGGCCACTACACGATATTGGAAGCAGTCTACGTGTTATAAAGCAGAGTTTTTGCTGCATTAATTCTGGAAGGAGTTTTTTGGCCCACGTGCAAATCATCAATTCCTTTTTGAAGAACGTCAATCTCATACCCTCCACTGACTACTTCTAAAGCAAAACAGTTGGTAGAATGGAAATTGCGGAAGCAATCGGAGTCAGCGTTGAACCCCGGCATGCTATAATCTAGTGAGGAATGAATTAACATGGCGCAGTTTAAGCCTTTCCGAGACTGGAATGGCCATTTCTGGTTTATTAGTCCTCGTCAGTTGGCTATACCCAGCTGCGAGATGTGCAACCCCTAGGGCTCGACCCCGAGACCTGCCAACTAGAAGTTCAACTCCCTAACCACTGAGCCCCGGACTTATTACCCTGTCGGTTGCGCAGTCCTGCTTCAGATGTACTCCCGAGAACGCATTGCATGGCGTAGCACTCCCACATGGGGAAGCTGAGTTTAATATGTGCGCAGTGGAATAAGTACAAGACTTGAAGAAGAGGCGGGTGAAGAATTGAATAGGGAAATAACTTTTCAGTACTGATGAATGAAGCTGATGTACTCCTTCTCATGCCCACGTCACCCAGACTGACAAAATCGATGGAGAAAAATAACGACTGTTTTCCGTGGAAAATAAGACCCGCAAGATGTATGTCAACAACAGAACTGTTGGAACAAAGCAGCATTTATTCCCTGCGAAAACCCAAATGCAGTCGAGGCTGAGTTGGGGGCAAAATAGGGATTTGCAGACCGCAGCAAAATGAGGAACTTCCTCGTGGCTATCAGGGCAGTTTACTGTGACACTACTCGGCTCTGATGGCGAAGGCGCTAATTTTTGGAGCACTGTGCCTAGCATTTCATGAACTTCTTCAAGCGGAGACGAACGCCTCCCCCGATGGTCCGCCTTGCCCGCCAGCCACATGGCGTCCTTCGAGAACGTCAAGAACGTTTCGAAAGCAGTCGGCCGCCTTCTCGCACCACTTGACGTTGGAGCTGCACACAGACCGGAGGCAACCATCAAGCGTCAGGTAATGAAACTAAAAGACCCACTGCCACGGCAGGAAACGTCTGGAGACGTTTATCGGCTCTGGTGCAGTTGCAGACAAAGCAACAACGTCGGAGAAACCGGAAGACAACTCCAAACGCGAATGGTCGAACACGCTGCAGCGGTGCGGAGAAATGACGCTAGCTCTCAAGTTGCGGCTCATTCGACGAGATCCGGCCGCACATTCAAATGTGACGAGGCCGAAATTCTCGCTAGAGGTGACAACCGCGCGAGCCGAGAACTGCTTGAATCATGGTTTTCTGGCCTCCAGTCTATTAACAAATGCAATGACCCTCCCCTTCCATACTCGGTGCTGAGACTTCGTCCAGGCGGAATAATTGGCCACGCAGGAAGCGCACAGGTGAACACCTTTCCCAACACCACGGTCAGCGCGTCAGATGGTAAAGCAATCATCACACCAACATCCAACGCACGTGATGAAATTGCAGCAATTAACGACGCAAATGTCGGCCATCGAACAGTCAGCACACCNGATATGCGACAGCATGGCGACTGCATCCTTTAAATACTGCAACTCCTTGTGCATGAACCACCCGTATCTGCGTTGTCTCTGATGATGGGTTCGAGCAGGAATCCGAACCGTCAGGCTACTAAAACCCCTGTCCCAGCGATCGTGTCTTCTTCTACTTCAAAATCAACCTATTTGCCCACGCGCTTCGCGTACTCCTGGATAGACACCTGATGCAGGACCTCCTTCCAGACAGATGACGAAGACGCCCAAAAACACCCCAAAATCACAGTCACACTCATGGGGACCAGGGAAATTCAAAAAGAGTGTCACAAAAGGAGGACGAACAAGCATGACTAGAGTCAGCCAACACAAGGACATGTCTGTTTTGTCAGTCGAAATTGAGAACACGGAGTCTCTCTCGTGAACTCATTTGGAATCAAGACTGCCATGCGATCTTCATCCCGCAAAGCACCCCACCCTCAGTGAGCGCATGCTACTCGCCTGCCTTCGCTGGTGCATCACTTTGCAGTCGTCACTGCCGCAGCAGAGGTAAAGCTGCCAGAACATTAAAACGGCTCACAATCAGCATCACTGATGTGGGGACACTTTCCCTATAATTTTGTTGGCCTCCTGCACTCCGGGGCCCAACATCTGTTACAGAAGCTTTATTTACTCCTATTGTCGTGAGACATTCAGACATCACATGTTGCCATTCAACCTTTAGCAATTCGATGTAGTTGTGTGTTTTATAGTGGCGTCTCACTCTCTCTCTCTTCAGTCGTGCATGCAGATTTAGAATGACAAGAAGTCCGCATTGAGATAGTCAAATGCTTACAACCCGTGGAACGCTTTTACTACCCTACAGTAGGTGGGCTAACTCATGAAATGTCAACCGAAATTCCGGAATGCATTTTCGTTCCGAAAAGATTAATTAAGTAGGTTTGGAAAACTTTTCAGCCTGCAACATAATTCTATAATATTTCAGTTACCTCAGGATGCCGGCTTTCGAATGAACTTCCTTCCGGCTGCATGCAAAAACCACACTCTGTAAAAAATGACTGCTTAATTATCATAAATTTTTCTCATTGATTTTCGATGCCCGTAAACGTTCAATTATATTTAGTGGAAAACATACATAAAAATATTCATTCTTTCGCTCATTCGGTAGATAATTACGTCTTCTCCTGATTTCTGCTTGAAGGAGGGTCATACTTCAGTTGTAAAAAAGTTTCTGATTGTGTGAATTTTAGATACCATGAAATGGCTGTTCATAATATGGCTTGTAAAGTTAATAATATGCATTAAATCCACTGCTTAATTTTATGAAACCTATACGGTCCCCCTTTAGTACCGTAGAGAAATGTGTGGTTTTCCGTACGCGGAAAATATACGGTTTGTAATTTGCAAACCCCGAATCCAAGTGAGACGGTAGAGGGGGTTAAAAATTATCCGGGAATTGAGAAAGTTTTTTTAAAACTGAATTGTACTCTTCCTTCGAGTATAAAATTGAAAAAAGACGTGATTGTCCACAGAATAAGTAAAAGAATATATATATATATATGTTGGAAGGTAGGCATCCCAAGAAATATAAGTCGAAGTCGAATGTGTGCTTTGGGAAAGGAAGTTTAGGGTGCAAATTTTCGACGCCGGTCCCCCGAGTCGTCGTCAGGCACAGACGGAAAGCAAATGCGCCAACATAGCTAACATCTTCCATGATATATAACTGAATTTTCAAGGGCATCGAAAATCTATAAGAAAATTGCATGCTACTTTAGTATTCATTTTTTGCAGATTGTTTGCCTGCATGCAGTCGGAAATAAGTTCCCTCAAAAGCCTACGCCCTGAGATAACTGGATTATTATTAGATTATGCTGTACGGTGATTAGTTTTACAACCCTTCTTAATTAATCTTTTCGACGCTAAAACGCCTTTCGAAATTCCGGCTGACATTTCATGAGTTAGCGCACCTACTGTACATTGCCACGTACTGTGTTGCGTTTCAGAATCCTCCCCCGCCCGACATGAGTGAAGATCCGAAACTTAAAAGCCATACATTATTTGAGCTGTTTTGCATATTTGTAATCTTTATAAATCAAATGGCATTCTTGCAAACCTGTCTCACACAGTTATGCGACATAAACCCTATGTTCAGAATGGGAATCTGTTAAAAGTGCATTTCCACAAGAGTCAGTCCTGGTCCCGCTCCTATCCATTAATTATGTAAATTATCTTGTACGCGAAGTGAAGTCGGATATAGCGCTGTTTGTAGATGATCTTAAACTGTGGAAGATAATAAAAGATGAAACAGACGCCCAAATATTACAACAGGAAGAGGAGAATCTGTGCGCATGAAGCGAGCACCGGTACATGAAATTCAGCATCAAAAATATATGGTAATGCGCATAATATCATGAAGGCGAGGAATAAATGTAACCTCACGACAGTACCTCCCGAACAATCAACCACTTGGAACCGCAGATGTGCAAAACGACCTTGGTGTAGTCATCGAAGACGACTATAGCGTCACCACGCAGTGTTCTATAGTCAGAACACTGGCAATGTCTTCTATGAGGGCGATGCGAAGAACGTTTGTAAACTTTAATACAGATTTGTACGGTTTATGAGGCATTTGTGCAGCCGCACCTGGAATATGGGCTTGGCGGCCGTGGCTACGAAAAGATATAGACATTCTGGAAGATGTACAGGGACGAGCTACAAAGGCTTTTCATTAAATCAAAAATTTTACGCACAAACAACGCCTGACCGTCTTGAGTCAATCGCTTCACTACGTGTAGGACAAATGTGACGTCACGGCAGCTTGATCTGGATACCAACTGGGAAACTCTTTCTGAAATGACATCAAAGACTAATTTCGGACGACACGACTGCCAACTTAAAAAGGAACTGTGCCACACCATTCAACGTTCCTCCTTTTCATCACACAAAGTCAACGGAATTCTTTACTGACGTACGTTGGAAATTCTCCTATTGCGAGTGTGTTCAGGGCAACCCGGACATCCCCAACCCGCCTATTGAATTAAATAAATGACTATAAATATACTACTAACTTGATTTCAGCAGATCTGTTTGTGTACATTAACCTTGGGCCTGGTGAAAATTTCACAGCGTGAATGCAGTAAGCTTGTCTTTTGCCGTTCTTTCGCTAATGTCACACCTTTATGACATAAATGTTTCAACATCAGCACAGTCATGTGTGCAGGGTCAGCATGTGCGTGGCATGTGCTGAAAAGATTAATTAAGTAGGGTTGTAAAACTAATCAGCCTTCAGTATAATTCTATAAAAATTCAGTTACCTCAGGGTGTAGCTTCTGCTTCCTGTCCTGTATGCCAAGAGTTTCCGAAGCGATTGCCCGACAAGTAAACTAGTTAAGCGTTCCCATCACCCGTAAGCCGGCGCCCTCCCTACGCCCAGCATTATCCCACACCCAAGAATCCGGCGAATTAGTACCAGTTGCCGCATCCCGTGTGTCGACCGTTCATGAATAATTTCAGACATACAGGTCGACGACTTGGGACCCGCATAACAGAGCGCAAGTTAGCCATCCGTCGACGTGACCCCCTATATCGCGTGTTTGCGCACCTCCTTGAGTCCGACCGCCACTTCAAGTAGGACGAGATTGAGAGGGTCGCCAGTGCCAACACCAAACAGGCACGAGAGTTCTTCGAAACCTGGCACTCCAACACCACCAACTTCGACTGCCATGCCGACCTGGTCATCAAGTGTGTGGCACGTGTACATGAGATTATCGTGCCACGTCATCTACAGCACACATTCTGATCATCGGTCGACCGTAGCGCCCATACAGGTAGATAGTAGGCTGGGTGAGGCCAATGCTGAGGTACCCTACGCCATCACAGATTTTAGGCATTTGAACTCACCACGATGAACCAAACTTCGTGTTTTCGAGCGGTCCCACCTGTTGAGATAACTGGACACTTCTAGGATCGAGACTCTGATTGAAATTCCACAATCCTACCGTGGTGTCAATGGCACCCTGGCCTACGTAAGGTCGGCGACCCTCTAAATGAATCTCGACTCACGCGACATTAGCCATGAGCTCTTGTGTGGTACGCTCAGTCGGGCACACTCCTGAAGCCCGCTGACTTTGCATTATCATTGAAAGCAAGGTTCCGCGTGTCCTCTCTTTGTCTTCGATCTTCTTGACCGTGTCTTGATGACGGGTCCAGGTGGCGAGTGGGAGGAGTGAGTGCAGTAGATACTGTGCAAGTCACCTACCGCTGTAAACTAACTCCGTGCCTGCTCCTAAACTGCGGCGGAACATTCGGTGGACATCATCAGCAAGGACGGTCAAACTGTCACTCTGTGACTGCAGCAAGAATGACCTCCATTTTGTCAGCGCCGGCATGGCGATCTAAACGTCGCATAGGAGAGTATGCACAGCTCACTTGCGTGGAAAGTGTGTTTTTTGGTACAGCCTGGTAAATTTGGACTATGAATCAAGTCACCTGAGGCACTCGTTCACGAAATGATCAGTCTCATCAACAACTGTGCTTAGTCCCACCATCAGCTGGCTGAGAGGCTCAACGGGTGCGTTGGAAAACAAAAAGAGAGTAGGTACGACTCTAGGGAATCAGTCTCTACGGCAAATTAACACACGTCGATAAAAGCGGAGAAGTGAGTTCCAGGAAGCAGTTCTGCTGAATAAGGCGCCATCGTTGGCGCAAGAGATTTATTGGTCTGATGTTTCGGAAACCCACTCGACCTCATCATCCGAAACAGTCGTAGTCAAGGGTGATGGAGGCCGCAGTTGCCACGCTATCAAATGCCTAATATATTTGGCAGTCCCGGTGGTAATCGCTGGGGTGGTAACTGGTGCGATGATTGCTTGTTCGTCCGCACTCGAATTATTAATTGCCGAAATGTATTCACCGTTGTGAGAATTTCGGGTCCGTCAGACTTAAAAGTGTGACTGAGTCCCGGCGAATGAGCAGAGACCTAATAGTTAGGGTCTCTCCTCCCCACTGCTGTCGCATGTTCAGCCATTCGCGTCTAGAGTAGTTACCCATTCTCTCCGAAGTAATTGCTCTGTCCGCAACCGCACATGACTCGGTTAACGATTTCACGTTGTTCTTGCCGTGACCCACTGCTACACAGACAATACCGGCAACGAGAAGCGAACTGCCGATACAAGCGGAGAGACGAGTTCCAGGAAACAAATCAACAGAAGAAGAGCAACCGCCGGAATGATGAGTTTATTAGCCTGGCGTTTTACGTTTACATCCGAGCCCCTTATCATAGATAAGGGTGGCGGATGCAAGCCAAGAATCCACTACGGTGATTACTTTTCGGTTATTAAGGACTGGGGTTTGGACTAACAATCCATCATTTCATCAATTACGACCTCCAGAGAGGAATGAGGGAGCCGCTTACTATATTAGACATGCGTTTGCGTGGCAACTGCACTCCGCGTGCTCCCGTCACAGATGGTAGGCTCCAGTGAGAAGTCGAAACGTCAGGCTAGTAAACACCTTGTTTCGGCAACTGCATTTTATGTTTCCAAGCTGACGCATTCTCAACACACCACGATGCTTTGAAAGTCGCGTCCTAAATGGCTACTAACTGTTCTTTTTCAGTTGGTCAACCGTTTTGCCCTTCCCGCCTGGCGGGTTCGAGGACTATCTGGTTCTCGATCTATCCGCTGAATGGAGGCCAGGTGAAGCTGGAACTCTCCGCTTTATTTACCTAGTTATGCATCTGAAATGGGCAGTTGCATCATGGTTTCAGTAGTGCAACCAACCCATGCCATGGCGTGCGTCAAAGTGGTTGACTCAACTCACTCGTAGATTCCTCAAACGTCCTTCCACGATTTTTACTATCTAAGCATATTGCTTAGATAGTTCGGATTGCCAACGAACTATCGAATAAGCCGGTCTCGCCGGGAACGCACATCTAGTCTTTCACCTAAAATACACTTTAGGAATATGACTAAACTACTCACTAATAGCATGTTTTTGTTAAATCGACGCAACATGCCTTTGTGCGGTCAGTTCTGCTCACCGACTGACACGTGGACCTCTTGCCTCCTAGCCAGCAACATCCAAAGCGTCTCCATCGGCTTGGGCTAGCCATGCATGTCTGATCCGTCACCGAGCCAATGTCCCCTTCAAAGGGGGTTTGAACTCAAACTACTGCCAAGAGTACACACGGTCATTTGCATATTCCCTCGCCACGAACTCTTGACCCTTGCATGTCTAAAAGTCTGTGAGCACTACCAAGAATGTGTACTGTTGAGATGGCTGGCGACTGTGCTTGCGCGTGAGGTCTCGTCAGACCTGAGTATAATCACGCCACCAAGGCAGATTTATCTCGGGGAAAAAACAGAGCCTAGGCCAGACTCTCGCCAAGAAATATGCACGCTGAGAATGTTGTCGGGGACGAGCCAAGGAGACTGGACTGATGGTATTTGATTAATTTGAAGGCCTCAGCTATCGGCTCATGCCCAAAGTGAAGGTGTGAGATTTAGACTCGAATTCAAGAGGTTACTGAAATTTACCCTCCGCCAAAAAGGCCGAGGGCTCACACTTTGTCATCCGATTACTCAGGTTTGGAGTTCTCATCTACGGTAGTCCTCGGCACCCACACCAACCCGCTGAACGCTGAGATACTATAACTGTAGCCGACAAGTTAATACTGCACCTTCGACATCTTTCATGCTTACCGATGTCCCAGAAGACCGAAGAAGACAAAAGTGGCCACCCGGCTCATAGGCTGCATCACTTAAGCACTTGCAAACGTGCCCTTCAAACGTGTTTTCGATTGGTCTGTTGCTGATCCTTCTCTGATGAAAACTGGCGCTATCACGAGCAACACACTGAAACCGTACGTTAGCCACATTTTAGAGACAGTATTCCCTGGAAGCCTGCCCCGAGGCGAATTTCGGTAAGGTGTTAAACTTCATAAATGGAATCATAGGTAAAGGCAGCAGGCTCTTGGCATTATGACGGTCTGCAGACTCATTCCACAGCGGTGACAGCATATGCTGAGACGGTCCTGTAGGAATAGCATTCATAATCCTGGCATGTATCGTCAAAAGGTACAATGGAACCAGCTACCTGTGGATTGATAAATTTAGGCAGTATGTCCTTACAGACAAAGACAAGGAAGACTGGAATGGCCATGTCTGGCTTATTAGCCGTCGTCAGCCGGTCATACCCAACCCCGAAGTATGGAACATCCGAGGCTCGAACTCGCGACCTGTTAGTTAGAAGTCCACACCTCTAACCACTGCGCCACGAGCTCGTTGCCCTGTTCGTTTCGATCGGGAATATATAATGGTAGGGGGGGGGCGCTCTTTGCATTATGATAGTCTGCAAACTCAGTCCACTGCGGTAACGGCATATTCTGAGACGGTTCTGTAGCCACTGTCCTCGTAATCCTGACATATATCGCCAAAAAACTTCAATAAAACCGGCCATCTGTGGACTGTTAACTTTATGGCAACGTGGGGTATTCTGCCGGTGAAGTTATTGAAATGTCCGCATTCTATCCTTGAAGCAAAAAGATTACAAATGTGTAAAGTAGTGATAATTTGTGGAAAATCGACCAGCTGGTCTATTGCCATACTCTTGATCCTCTGCCTGGTTAAGGAGAATGACGCAAGGTACTCGGTTGGTTAACGATGCTCTCATGCCGACATTAATAAAAGATACGATGTCCTGGTCTCGATTGTAAGCTAGATGTGGGCATCCAAAGTAAAGTATGTCGAAAGGAGGATACTGAAATCGGTAGCGAGGAATGTAGAGGAGACTGAAACGGAAAAGGCTACCTGATGTGTGACAAATCTGTCGTAAGATTGAAGGAGACCTAAAATCCCCGCAAAAGATCTGACTGACAGGACACGAAAGGCAGCAATACCACAAACCTAACGGTAAACCTAACCGTTACCTCAATAGGTAACCTAATCCCTAACGTAGTTTTAAACACTACATTGACCCTGATCTTAACACTAAACCTAACCCTAAATTTGCCACAATCCCTAGCCCTGACCCTAAGCCTATCCTTAACGCTGACAGAAATCCTAACACTTACCTTAACCTTAACCATAACTCTAACCTTAATCGTAGCCCTACCCCAACACTGACCCTAACACCAACCTTAACACTAAACGTACACCTACGTCGCAATCCAAAGCCTAACTCTAACCGGAAGCCTTAAAATTAAAGCAAACCTTAACCCTTGACGCAATTGTCAGCCTGACACCAACCGAAACCTTTTTGGCTTTCGCTAAATTATCACAAAAAATTTCAGCACCCTCCTTCGGCTTACTTCACTTGCAATGCCCGCATTGCACATTCACTTGGGACCAGGACAAAGTAACCGACTCCTATCGCTTCTTGGTTCCAAAATCTTTAAACAACCTTCTGTCTTTGTCGGTAATACCCCTTCTGCCTATACCATGCGCCGCAGTGCGGCTGCTGGTTGGGCTCTAGATAGGGGCGGAACGAGAGAGTTTCGTAAGAACGATCGGTGAGCGCTCCCTACCATTACGGAATATGCTTGTCCCTTTGTGCCTTGGGGGTTCATACTAGAACCCTCGCAGGCATTCGCACAGCGACTAGTGATATATGTGGATAAGGTGATACCGTGATAGGTGAGCGCCTATCTACCATAATTAAACATCCCGATCATCACCGATGGGATAACGAGCCCGCAGTTCATTGTTAGAGGTCTCGACTCAATGA